CTATAAAAACGCTTCGATATAAATCTGTAGATAGTGTTTAATTTTAAGAAATTGGTGTATTACTACAAAAGCAACATGATCTCCTATTTCCTTATTTATATCCTTATTATATGTTTTATGATTTATAAGTGTAATATATGTATAAAAATTTACTATAGCAATTAAGTATAGTATAAAATTGATATTCAATAATTTAGTAGTGTAATTTTTACGATAAATTAAAAAAAATTATAAAGTAGTTAAAACTTTTATGGCAAACGCATATATAAGTTAAATTTCTTGTTGCAATATTTAAAAAAAAAAACCCAGCACAGGGGGATCGCGGCACAGTGGTGACGTAGCATAGTTGGATCAAGTATTATGATATCTGACAGTGATTAAATTCACTATCAAAAAAAACGCTTCGATCCTAATCTTTAGATAGTGTTTAATTTAAAAAAATTGGTAGATTATTCCAAAAGCTACATGATCTGCTATATTCTTATTAATATCCTGATTTAGATAAAGATATATGTAAGGGATTATTAAAAAATATTATTTCTCATAAAAAAATAATGTTGATCCATACACTTTTCAATAAGTTATATCATTATAAAGTTAAAAATGTAAAAAATAAAATCGAGAATTCTCACACAATAATAGCATTCGGTAACTATTTTCACCGTGAAGATAAAATAAAGTACGAAATTTTTTTTTTCGCATAATAAATAACATTACATTAGCTTTAATTTAAGATATATATAAAAGTGTCAGACTTTCCGGAACACTTTCAAAAATTAAGTTGAAAAAATTAATTTTTTGTAAAAGAGTTGTCATTTTAAATTCCCCCGTGTAGGCAGGTAAAAAGTCAGATTTATAAAAAAAATATACCAAATGATAAGTAATGATATCATGCATCTATAAAAAAAATAATTTCATTGATATGTTTATTTTTTAAAAAGTTGCGGCAGTTTTTAGTAAAAAAAATTGAAAAAATTTCGAAAATTAGCCATTTTTAAATTTGTAATTTTTTTGAAGGTTTCCCCCATTTACGGGGAACGAGGGAATTTTTTTCAATTTTTGAGGGTAATGTCTTCGACTAGATACGATTTGTGATCTTTTGACGTATCATTGAAAGAAATCGGTTTGGTGAGAGCTGAGAAAAAGTGGTAACAGACACAAAAAAAAAAAAAAACACATCATAGTAAAACCAATACCTTCTCAGCTTCGCATCGAAGCTAAAAATTGATATTGATTTCTTCATTTTTGAAAAAGTTATAGCAGTTTTAAGTAAAAGAAATTTTAAAAAATTAGCGATTTTAAATATGTAATTTTTTTGAAGGTTTCCCCCATTTACGGGGAACGAGGGAAAATTTTTCAATTTTTGAGGGTAATGTCTTCGACTAGATACGATTTGTGATCTTTTGACGTATCATTGAAAGAAATCGGTTTGGTGAGAGCTGAGAAAAAGTGGTAACAGACACAAAAAAAAAAAAAAACACATCATAGTAAAACCAATACCTTCTCAGCTTCGCATCGAAGCTAAAAATTGATATTGATTTCTTCATTTTTGAAAAAGTTATAGCAGTTTTAAGTAAAAGAAATTTTAAAAAATTAGCGATTTTAAATATGTAATTTTTTTGAAGGTTTCCCCCATTTACGGGGAACGAGGGAAAATTTTTCAATTTTTGAGGGTAATGTCTTCGACTAGATACGATTTGTGATCATTTGTCGTATCTTTATAATCAAACGTTTTCTACACTATAAATAAAAATTTTCAATTCATACAAAGTTAATTTTTGTTTCGTATGAGTCAGCTAGACCGTAGAATGTTTAGTTTTGCACCGCACTAGAATGCCGTTTACTTTAAGTCTGTTGAAATCACTATTATTGTAGCAGGAGGATGACGGCTAATCGCACATCTAATAAGTAACGAGAGTAGACAATAATTAATGGCACGTAATGGTGGATAAAATCAGACGGCGGAAAGCGACTATAGCAGTGAAGTTATTTAGCCATATAATGTTGTTTTTATGTGTACGATACGAGTCACTAAGGTTTTTCTAATTTGGTAAATGTGAATTATTATATTTTAATTGTAAACATATGACAGAATAATAATATTTCTATAGTGTAGATAAAATGTTAGTACTTTTCAGTCAGTGGTTTTTAAACTACAGACATGGATTTAAACTTACCTGTTCAGCGCAAATATGCGTACGATGGCATGTACCAAACGGGTGTAGTAATGTTATACTGCAGTGCACGATTAGTGACATATACTTATTTGCTGTTAAAACTCATTAGTAAAATATTAATATATTTCATGTTTGTACTAACATCAAGTCAAAATTTTATGGTGGTGTAACTATGTAAACTAATACTATTAAGAGATTACTAATAAGAAAATTTTTTTCGTATTTTTAAATAATTTTTTAGCTTAGATGTAAAGCTGAGAAGGTATTAATTTTACTATGATGTGTTTTTTTTTGTCTGTTACCACTATAAATCAGCTCTCACTAGACCGATTTTGATGATAAATACGTAAAAAGCTTACAAATAGTATTTAGTCGAAGACATTACCATAAAAATTGAAAATAATTCTCTCGCCTCCCGTAAATGGGGAAATTTCCTAAAGAATTGAAATTTTAATAATCAGTTACTTTCAAGATTTTTTCAATTTTTTTCTTAAAAAAGTCATAACTTTTTTGAAAATGAACAAACCACGCATTTGGGTATTTACCTATCATTTGATAAATTTTTGTGAACATTTGATCTTTTACATGCATACAGGAGGGTTTCAAAATGGAAACTTTTCCATTAAAAATTAACTTTTTCAAATAAACTTTTGAAAGTGTTCCGGAAATACTGATACTTTTATAATAAAATATCTTAAAATAAAGCTTATGTAATATACTTTAATTTAAAAAAAAATAATGTGAACCTGGATTTGCCTTTATGGTTAATAAGACTGCTGTATTAAAAAAATATGATATTTTTGTGAAAAAAATTCTTGATTTTATAATTTTTATTTTAGCTTCCATGCGAAGGTGAGAAGGTTTTACTATGATGTGTTTTTTTTTTTGTGTGTCTGTTATCACTTTTTTTCAAGTCTCACCGAACGGATTTTTTTTCAACAATACGTCAAAAGATAACAAATCGTATCTATTCGAAGACATTACCTCCAAAAAAATTTAAAATTTAAAAATCCCTAATTTTCGAAATGTTTTCAATTTTTTCACTAAAAACTGCCAGAACTTTTTCAAAAATGGACAAATCATTATAGTTTTTTTTTTATATAGTTGAATGAATCATTAATGAATGTAATCATTACTTATCATTTGATATATTGTTTTCATAAATCTGACCATTTACCTGCCCAAAGGGGGAGATTTAAAATGACCACTTTTTTACAAAAAATTAACTTTTTCAACTTAGCTTTTGAAAATGTTCCGGAAGGTCTGACACTTTTATATATATCTTAAATTAAAGTTAATGATTACATTAACTTTATTATGGAAAAAAAAATTTCGGACTTTATTTTGCCTTCATGGTGAAAATGGCTACCGAATGCTATTTTCATGTGAAAATTCTCAATATTATATTTTTATTTTTAACTTTATAATGCTAGAACTTCTTGAAAAGTGTATGGATCAATAAAATTTTATCATGAGAAATACTGTTTATATACTTCTCTCATTTGACCTTTTTTTTTATTTAAATTTGACGATTTCCCTCTATACAAAATGTAGTTCAAACCTTTAAATATGCGTATAGATAGTAGAACTTTATCAACTTAACTTTTGAAAACAGCACAAAAAGTTGAAAAGAAAAGTACATTTTTTCTTCTGGCCAAAGTTCCATGTAGTTTAGTGTATTTATTCATAAGTAACAAACAGTTTTTATTGTAAAGTATTGCGTTAAGCCATTTAAATTTTTATACGTGTTAAAAGTAACGAGGTATACAACAACTTTATTATTTTTATAATTTCTCCGTATAAATTACAATATTAAATTATTTAATATCATTTGCATGCTAAATTTAATTACTATAATTATTATTTATTCATATATTATATTTTTAAATTAATGAACCACTAATCTGGATATAATAAAGGAAATAGGAGTTATTGTTGCTTTTGTAATTATACACAAATTTCTTAGAATTAAACATTATCTACAGATTTGCATCGAATCGTTTCTTATTATAGTAATGTTAATCACTGTTAGGTATCATCTATACTTTCCCCGTCCATACTTTGCTTCAACCCTACTGTGCTACCGTTTTTTATACTTATTTTTTTAAAAAAAATATTAAATTGATGATGTTTAATTTTCAATTTTTTTTTTAATCCTGTTGTGGTTTAATAATACATTATATCGTCCAGTAGTTTAGTGACCCTTGTTTTTCTTATTTTACAGCACCATAAAAGTTACAAAATTTTTATTTTGTGGCCCAATTATTCGAATTTTGAAGTGAATCTTTTTTATAGATAGTCCGAAAAATACGATAATCGAGCGTCATGATCGGCCACGGTTGGCTGTAAAGTATATTTTACATTATAATTTAATTTATGAAGTTTTAGTTTATCCGCGCATACTCGTAATACGCAAATGTTTTCTTTTTTATGATATGTGTAACCTTTTAACATAAATAAGAAGTTATCCTAATTTTTATTAAAAAATACAGCATTATACAATTCCGAACAACAAAAGTTTACAAATGTTATACTGTGTAACTGAATTTTTCTTATATTCTAAAATAATACTAAAAATTTAATTTTCTTTGAAATAGAAAAATTATTTTATTAACGTATTTTCATTAAATTTTGCAAACCTAATTTCTTTAAACACCCTACAACTGATTTTAAAAATTACGTTTAGTAAATTTGAATGTAATAAGATATGATAAAAATTATTTCTTGAAATATATTTTTATATTTTCATTATGTTTTGAGAAAAATTATTAAAAAAACATGAAATTTTAAATACACTATATTTAAGATATTCATATTTTATAGATGAAAAAACTGTAAGAATTTTCAAGATTTTGAATTTTTTGGTTAAAGTTAATAAGACAAGCGATAACAAAAAAGTAAAATCACATAATAATTAGTTTATTATCCTTTATATATGACTTATTTATTAAATTATTTTTTATTCTTTAGGTTGAAAAACTTGGTATAAATGAGGTTCAATTAATCTCAAATATATTCAGTTATCTTGATACAGACAACGATTGCTTGATAGATACGAAACAATTCATTACATTGATTGACTATTGTGTTTATACTGTAAACATAACTATAAATTTATTTGAAAATATTCATAATTATTTACATACAAGATACATTGTCCAAGATTTTTTCTCTCTACCCAAAAATAATAGAGCTCACAGTGATTTTGAAAAAATAACTAATAAAATCATAAACATATATGCACAAGAATTATGACCAAAAATATTCAGTGTTCCTCACAATAACTTTACATATATTTTTATTCTCAATTTTTAATAAATCTCACAAGACAATTATAGTTGCTTTAACTTTTCTGAATTAGAACTTAACCAACTTTATACAGTGCATTTTATTAAATATACTACCACTCATTTTTCGTTAAATAATGATTTTTTCATAAAAGAGTATAGAATAAAATTAAATTTTTTAGCTTTGATGCGAAGCTGAGATGGTATTAATTTTACTAATTGTTTAGGTGATGTTTTTTTTTTATTATTATTATTTTTTTTTTGTCTGTTATCACTTTTTCTCAGCTCTCACAGGATTGAACGCTATGTCAAAGATCACAAATCGTATCTAATCGAAGATATTACCCTCAAAATTGAAATAATTTCCCTTAATCCCCGTAAATGGCGGAAATCTCCAAATATCACAAATTTCAAATGGCTAATTTTCGAAATTTTTTCAATTTTTAGCTTCGATGCGAAGCGGAGAAGGTATTAATTTTACTATGATGTGTTTTTTTTTTATGTCTGTTGCCACTTTTTCTCAGCTCTCACTGGACCGATTTCTTTCAAAAATACGTCAAAAGATCACAAATCGTATCTAGTTGAAGACATTACCCTTAAAAATTGAAAAAAATTCCCTCGTTCCCCGCAAATGGGGGAAATATCCAAAAAAATTACAAATTTAAAAATCGCTAATTTTCGAAATTTTTTCACTTTTTTTTCTTAAAACTTCCATAACTTTTTGAAAAATCAACAAATCAACATAATTTTTTTTTATACTAAAACCTTAGATATTTACCTTTCATTTGATATCATTTTTTTGAAAATCTATCACTTAACCTGCTCATTGGGGGGGATTTAAAATGGCAACTTTTTTACAAAAATTAATTTTTTCAACTTAATTTTTGAAAATGTTCCGGAAAGACTGCGTCCTTTAAACATATATCAAATTAAAGCTTATTTTATGTACTACAAAATGAAAAAAAAAAATTTGTCCCGACACTTTTTTTTCTACATTTAAACGGCTGCCGTAGTTAAAAAAACACTATTTTTGTGTTAAAATTTTCGATTTTCGATTTTAAATTTTCAACTTAAAAATGCTATAACTTTTTGAAAAATGTATATATCAGCACAAATTTTTTTTTTCTAAATACATTATAAGTACATCTTTCATTTGACATACTTTTTATTAAAATTGGACAATTTCCCCTTATATAGGGGGCGTTCAAAACTTAAAATATTGTAAAAAACATAGATCTTTTTCAACTGAACTTTTGAAAATGTTCCGGAAATACTGCGTCCTTTAAACATATATCAAATCAAAGGTTATGTTATATACTATCAAATGAAAAAAAAAAATTTGTCCCGACATCTTATCTTCTATGTGCAAATGGCTGTCGAAAATTTAAAAAAAAATGTAATGTTTGCGATAAAAATTACATTTTATCGGGATGTTTTTTGTACTTAAAATTGCCATAACTTTTTTAAAAATGAACAAATAAAAATAATATTCTTTTGTATCGAAACCTTAGATATTTCCCTTTCATTTGATATAATTTTTTTTGAAAATCTTACACTTATTCTGCTCATTGAGGGGATTTAAAATAGTAACTTTTTTACAAAAAATAACTTTTTCAACTTAATTTTTGAAAATGTTCCGGAAATACTGCGTCCTTTAAACATATATAAAATTAAAGCTTATTTTATGTACTACAAAATGAAAAAAAAAAATTTGTCCCGACGATCTATCTTCTATACGCAAATGGCTACCATATTGAAAAATATACTATTTTTGTATGATAATTATGGGTTTTGTATTTTATTTTAATAGAAGTTGATGTTGCTTTTGCAATTATCCATCAATTTTTTAAAATTAAACACTATCTACAGATTTGCATCGAAGCGTTTCTTATGATAGTGATTTTAATCACTGTCAGATTAAATCTATACTGGACCCTACTATGCAATGTCTCCACTATGCCGCGACCCCACTGTGCTACCGTTTTTTTTTTTACTTAAAATTGCTATAACTTTTTCAAAAATGAACATATCAATATAATTCTTTTTTATATAAATGTGTAATATACACAATTTTTTTATGAGAAATAATATTTTTTAATAAACCCTTTTTCATTCGACATACTTTATCTTAATCGAGATATTAATAAGAAACTAGCAGATAATGTAGCTTTTGTAATTATCCACCAATTTCTTAGAATTAAACACTATCTACTGATTTGCATCGNAAAATTAAACACTATCTAAAGATTTGCATCGAAGCGTTTATTTTTGATAGTGATTTTAATCACTGTCAGATATCATTATACTTGATTCAACTATACCACGTCATAACTGTGCCGCGACCCCCCTGTGCTGGGTTTTTTTAAATTGTTCTTTTTCTGATTATTTACATGTAAAATACAATATACTTATTCGTGTATTTTTGAATTCTTCACAAAATTATCTATCTATTAATGGCAATTTTATAATTATGATGTTAATGTCATTCATAATTATAATTTTTTGCTAATTATCCATTAAAAAATATATATCGATAAAATATATAAACATATATTTTATTTATTATAAATTATATGAAAATTAAAATAATAAATTATTACTATTCTTAAGGTTAATCTGGGTACATTAGATGCTACTGTACATTCATCAGAAGCTCAAGAACATCAAATTAGGGGTTATCCAACAATAAAATTCTTCCCATCAGGCACATCTAGTTCTAGTGGAGCTGAAGAATATAAAGGTGGTCGAACATCCAATGATATTATTAGCTGGGCATTGCAGAAACATCAAGAAAATGTACCACCTCCTGAAGTTTTTGAGGTACTAAATTTTGTATAGNCCCTGAAGATTTTGAGGTACTAAATTTTGTATAGTTTATGTTTTTATGCAGGTATCATTATGTTTTTTTTTTTACAAAAAAAATTAATTGATTCAGAATAACGAAATTTGATGAAAATAATTTCATCTATTTCTCTTTATATAAAACTGAATAAATAAATATGACTGTTTTTTAATATAATCGATGTTACGAGAACAAACATTTTTTTTAGTAAGACAATTATTTTTCATACAATCAATGAGAAAATAAGATAATTTTCTTTCTTTGATTTTTAGCTTCGATGCGAAGCTGAGAAGGTATTTTTTTTACTATGATGTGTTTTTTTTTTATTTTTTTTTTTTGTGTCTGTGAACGCTCAATCTCAGCTCTCGCTGGACCGATTTTGATGAACAATATGTCAAAAGATCACAAATCGTATCTAGTCGAAGACATTACCCTCAAAAATTGAAAAAAATTCCCTCGTTCCCCGTAAACGGGGGAAATCCCCCAAAAAATTACAAATTTAAAAATCGCTAATTTTCGATATTTTTTNGAAATCCCCCAAAAAATTACAAATTTAAAAATCGCACATTTTCGATATTTTTCAATTTTTTTTACTTAAAATTGCCATAACTTTTTTAAAAATGATCAAATCAATATAATTTTTTATTATTATAGATGCTTAATGTCTTTATATATTATTTGGTATATTTTTTTTTTTAAATTTGACCTTTTTTCTGTCCACAGGGGGGGATTTAAAATGACAACTTTTTCACAAAAAATTTACTTTTTCAACATAACTTTTGAAAATGTTCCGGAAGGTCTGACACTTTTATATATATCTTAAANGGGATTCAAGACAACCAATAACTTTTTCAACGTAATTTTTGAAAGTGTTGATAAATAAAATACTGACTCTTTTATATATACCTTAAATTAAAGCTAATGTAATATGTTTTATTATGAAAAAATAAAATTTTGGACTTTGNTTTCTTCACGGCGAAAATGGCTACTGAATGCTATTTTCGTATGAAAACTCTCGATTTTATTATTCATATTATATTTAACTTTATAATGCTATAACTTATTGAAAATTTTATGGATCCACACAATTTTTTTANGTTTCATGATGAGAATGGCTATCGTACGCTTTTTTGTGTTAAAATTCTCGATTTTATATTTTACATTTTTTAATTTATATTTCTATAACTTTTTGAAAGCTGTATGGTTCAATACAATTTTTTTATGAGAAATAATTTTTTAATAATTCTTTCATTCATCATATTTTTTTTTAAATCGGACCATTTCCCTTAATACAGGAGTGGTTCAAAACATAAAAATGCATAAAGAAAGTAAAACTTTTTCAACTTATATTTTGGAAGTTTTCCAGAAATACTGACACTTTTATATACATATATATTTATATAAATTTAAAGGTTATATTATATACTTTGATATGATATTACAAGTAGGCAATTCCTATCGCGTTGAGATATTGGATATGACCCCATTAGATCAATACTAACAAACTCCTATTGCCGGCGGCGCTGTCTTGGTCGCATCGGGTCGTCTTGCTTTTGGTTCAGCGGTTTGTAATAGATATTTAGCACTTATAATTTTATTTTATTTATATTTTTATAATAATGATTTTTTTTAATAAACCGCATTGTAATGAGAGATGATAGATATAAAAACACCAATACATGTATGAAATATTAACGCAAATTAGTAGAACAATAGATTGCGCATAGATCTCTCTAAATTAATTACCTAGCCAATGAGAAGCATTGTGCAAATTAAACTAATTCTCCCCCTCATAAAACAGGCCTATAAAAGAGCAATTTCTAGCTCATTCGNATAAATTAAATTTTTATTTAGTATTTTATGAGTTGTTCCAATTAAGAATTTTTTTAATTCTTCAATTGGAGTGTCTATTTAATAAGTGCATTTCGAAAATCTACCTTAGCACATCTAGCGGCTAAAACTGTTGGTAAAACAATGGTTTATGGCATGTCACTAAGGAGATCGTAGAGTGTATCTTAAATTGAATAGATACGTGTTTGATTGATTGCACAAGATACTGATGGTTTGTTGAAATCATTATCCTAGCACATCTAGCGGTTAAAACTGTTGGTAAAACAATAGTTTATGACATGTCACTAGGGATTGATTCTCATATTCCATTACGTTTCTTTTCGGCAAGCAGTTTTTGACTCTGTAAGGTCCGTGCATCGACGAGAGTAATCTCCGATGGTGTAGCCAGCCTGTCTCTAACTATGTCGACTCTCATGTCAAATACACAATTTCATAAAATATTGATAGTTTATTGAAGTCATTACCCTAGCACATCTAGCGGTTAAAACTATTCGTAAAACAATAGTTTATAACGTGTCACTAGGGATTGGTTCTCATAAGCTATCTGGTTATATTTTTTCTCATTTCAAAATATAAAGTAACACATATACTCAGACACCAAGTATAGAAAATAATTACAGTTAAGTAATATTTCAAGTTTAATAATTTGCATAATTTTACAAAAATTAATAAGTAAATAAAAGTCAGTACTCTCTTTATATATATATATATTTTTTACGCAATAAACAATCAAGCTAGCTGGACACAAGGTAAGAAATTATATTTCTAAGCATGTCATAAAATTAAGGGTAGACTTAAGATAAATCAAGAATAACTTTTATCGAGGGAATAATAGAATTGTTAAAGGTGGATAATTTGAAAAGTTATTAATAACTACTTTCTCACCATTTGGGTCATAATAGTGCGCGTTCAACGTAGATGTTTTAACTTGTATTATACAATTACATAAAGAAAATAATTCAGCCATTAAGGCTTGGCGCCCAACAATTGGACAGTAGCATCTTACATGAACACACGCTGTTTCCCATTCATATAGCATGACCAATAAATATTAAGAGTCGTAAAATCCTCCTCCGTAATCATTGCACATTTCATTGTAGAATTAATATGACTCAGGTGTGAATCATCCGAATATAATTTTCCTTCAATTTACTTTTTACGACAAACTACGCGCAGTGGTAGGATCTTAATAACGAGTTCATGGATATATATATTGTATGCTATATTTTCACCTTGTAGCTAAACGTATTTCAACAATCCGTTAACCATAACATCTATATATAACATCTACATTCTATTATTATTCCTCTTTCTTAATTATAAAAAATATAAATATCACACATATGGCCGCTTATTTTATTTCCTTCATCATCCTTCATTATAATAATTTCTCTTCATTCGTTATGTTATTATAATTAATATCCATAACCTATTGCCATACTTTTCTTTTATAACAAAACAACCCCCTTATAGCCATTCTTTAATTTTTTTTATGACAAAAAGATAAATATCACATACATAGTCAATCTATATATATATAAGCACTAAACTTTTTTTATGACAGGTTAAACACAAGCATACGCATGAAATCATGCGATATATTGATGTATCGACTCTTTCATATTGTCCCAGAAGAAACGATTACCAATGCTATGGTAAGTTTCTTTTCACCCTGGATGTCCTGCAAAAACACGGTCATGATACCTCCTAGCAGGTGATCTGACATATCCGAAGGAACAACGATAATCTTCCCGTCTGTTCCGTTATTTACCGGGTATTTTAACAAAATACCATCTTGCAAGTTGTATTCTTGGTGTTAGCGCCTGTAAATTGGTTTATCACTCCGGAGCTTCCGGACATACTTGGCCAAAGTTTCATCTTTGGCTTGCCAGGTTCTTATATCGGAAATAGCTATATTCTTCGGATAGGTATTCTTTTTTTATGGCCCCTAGTATTTCGTACGGATAAATCTCCGGTCAACAGTGGATTATGGTAGTTTCCTTTTAAATGATCTTCATCTACCGGAGTTTTCTACACAGGGCTTCTTGATAGGGCGTCCGCTGCTTAATTTTCAACTCCAGGTACGTGCTGAATATCAATGTCGAACGCCCCAGCTTTAACGCCTAGCGGGTCAACTTACTGTTGGTGTAGGTAGGATAAGGAACAATGAAATACATTGGTTGATTCTATTGATTACTGTGATTCTAGTAGCCGAATTGTAATTATAAATTTATTTCAAAAAAATAACTAATAAAATCATAAAAATATATGCACACGAATTATAATCAAAAATATTCAGTGTTCCTCACAATTATTTAACATGTATTAAAAATCATATTAATTCATTTTATTTGTTCGTATAAGAAAAAAGTTATGTCAGTTTTAATAAAAATGTTTAAAAATATCGAAATATACAGATTTTAAAAATTAATTTTTTTTCATTTTAAGAGCGATGTCTTCAACTAAATATGATTTGCGATCTTTTGACGTATCGTTAAAAAAATTGGTCCAGTGATATTTAAAAATCTGACGACAGACTTCAAAAAAAACACATTATAATAAAATTATAACATTCTGATTCTCGCATCGAAGCTATTATATTATATTGACACGGCCCGCGTCGCTTCGTTATACACGATGCCCCGCGACTCGTGCCACCTTTATCAGCCGTCGCCCTACTATGAATATTTGACTGATCAACACCGCGTGCCATACGCCACGGTGCAAAGTCCAGCAAGTGCCGCACGGCCGACGACGACCCGCCGCAAATGGTGCGAGAGTCTTCCTCCTGTTGTGAAAGCGACAACGTCGACCAACCGAACCGCACCCGCGCACCTTCGCCTACAACGCTGCTAACCATTTTGCCGTTCAAGGTTTACGCCGGACATCGCGTCGTCGACGCCAGCGAAAGTGCCGCGATATTATGCGAAGATTATTATTACTGTGTTTATCTTTTCGGTTTGTTTTATTTTTGTTAAAATAATCTGTTGTCGCTCATTTAATAAACGGCCCACGGGTCTTTACCCTCAAACCAGTGTCGACCACATTTTTGTGACGTAAGTCGTGTCAATATTATAAACTTAATATATGTTTTTAACTATCACAATGAGAATAGTCTTTATTTTAATAGGGTGAGAACTGTAAGAGTTGTTAAAATTTTTATTTATAGAAAAGCGGAGTGTTCAGGCTGGGTAAAATGATTCTTAATCAATGAACAATCGTGCTCCATTACTTAAAATTATAAAACTTTTTAGAATATATATCCAAAACTAGTGTAAAGTTATACATTTGTACATAATTAATTAATTAATGTAAATCCCATTTTAAAATATAACTTAATATTTTACACGTTGGTATTGAATCAGTACTTGAAAAATGGTAAATTGTATTCTCTTTTTTTACTAATCTAATTTTTCTTCTTTCTTCTAGGGTGAAAGTTTTTTATCTAGTATCATGGAGCTCATATGCTCTTTTTTCTTTTGTTTTAATAGAAATTAGTTTTCTTCTTTAATTTTTATGCTACACGAAGCATTTTAATGTGCAATGTCGAAAAAATCATACATGATTTGTAATTTATTCAAAATTATTTTGTTTAAATTTTTCATTTTTTTTTTTATTTTTCAAAAACTATGCCTTTTTTTATAAAGTCATGGATTTTCACCTTTATCTTAATAATTTGATCATCAATTACAAAAGTAGCACTGTCAAAAAAACTAATGGAGATTAGCCTTTTATAAAAAAAGAATCGTAATTAATCAATTAGCAATAGAAGTTTGCTAGTTATTTTGAATTTACAGAGAGACAATTAGTGATAAAACCAACAACATCCGTGTCTCACTTGAATCCAATACTTAAATATTAAAGTATAAAGAGAACTAATTTCAGTCAATTAATAATACAATTTTTTTCAATTTTTATGATACTCAAAGCAATGTGCAAAATCGAAAATATCATATAATTCCATCATACCTTCTAATTCTTTTAGTCTACAAATTAGCTTCGATGCAAAGCTAAATTTTATTTATAAATCATTTTACTATGATGTGTTTTATTATTTTATTTTGTGTCTGTTACCACTTTTTCTCAGCTCTCATCAATCCGATTTCTTTCAATGATACGCCAAACAATCTCAAATCGTTTCTATTCGAAGACATTACTCTCAAAAATTGAAAAAATTTTCATCTTTCCCCATTAAGGGAGGAAATCTCCAAAAAAATTACTAATTACTAAAATTACTAATAATTTTATTTACATTTTTTAATTCGAAATTTATCAATTTTTTTTACTTAAATCTGCTAAAACTTTTTCAAAAAAGACTAAATCAATATAATTTTTTTTATAAATGTATAATGTCTTTACCTATCCTCTGGTTTTTAGTTTTTTATAAGTCGGACCTTTTACCTGCCCAAATGTTGGATTCAAAATGACAACTTTTACACAAAAACCTAACTTTTTCAATTTACATTTTGAAAATGTTCCAGAAATACTGACATTTTTATATATATATCTTAAATAAAAGTTAATTTAATATAAAAATTTCGAACTACTTTTTGACTTCAAGGTGAAAATGGTTACCGTATGCTATTTTTGTTCAAAACTTAAAAATGCATATAAAAAGTTGAACTTAATAAATATATTACAATAAATGCATTACAATAAACTATTTTGCATATTTTAGGTAGTAACACAGAACGAAAATGACAATGAAAATCTCAAAAGTGTTGTAGTTAATTTAAAGAAAGAAATTTATGATGAAAGTAATTATATAACAATTATTGTAATAATTCATATGCTTTATTATATTAATGTATTTTTTAGATGACAAACTACACAGTTTTAGTGATGTACTGATAAAAGTATTATTCTACAAGGCAAAATTTAATGATAGAGACTTTGGTAAACGTTACAATTTTGATGCCTATAATAATATACTATATAATATTTCAGAATTGTTTCCTCCATCATTGATATATAAATATTATTACCAATTTTTTTAACTATTATTTAAAATATTCTACACTTATAGAAAATTGTAATAAAATCTTTTATTGTATTTCATTAATATTTTAAATAAAATAATCACGTTAAATAAAAAATAATTTGGTTTCATCATTTTTTAGTTCTTAAAACAGTGTTTCAATTAAAAAATTTCATAAAATTAATGCAAATACAAATATTTTAAAAGCTAATACTAAAATGATAAATAGACAATAGATTTCAAGTCAAATTCCTTTCCTTTTAGATAAACATACAGCATTATCAAGCAGTTTTAATTACCCCCATTCAAAAAATTGTACACTCCCGGTGTTTTTATTAATGTTCCATTTATTTCAAAGTAAAAAGTTCAAAAATAGTAATTTACATAATTCCAGCCTTTTAATCAAAAGGTAGGTTATAAAAAGAAAAAGACTCGGAAAAATTCGGAAAATCTCGAATGTGCATGCTCAGTTGTGAAGCGAATATATTACGAACTTTTGGATTCAATCGAAACAATTGAAAGGACGACTAATGCGAACCGCAGCGTCAGTAAAGCCTATTGGATCTTGAGACTTTAATCACAATGGCTACACCAAGGTGTAAATTCAATAAAATCAACGACTTGATCGATTCATCAATGTATAGGATTTCACAAATGTGTAGCGTATACATTGGTCTGGACCCAAACGATTCATTTTGGCCAAACGTCATGTTGGTAAACAATCATCAGAAACTTATTATCACTATCGATTTACAACATAGAATGTATACTATGTGCGGGTAATCCATCTTGCGCACACAATAGATTAACAAATACTGAGAACCTATTAGAAGTCATACAATGTTATGCTGCTGCTCCCCCTTCCTCCTCTCCAAATATCATTTAGATAATTATTTCGTGATAACGGATGAGGTGTATACGACTAAGATATTAGAATATTACTAGATTTACTAGATATCTAATGTATATACGTTTTAATTATTATAATTATAATATAGTTAAATATCGTTATTTATAATGGCGTGAAAACATTCAGTCTTAAAGTGAAATGTTAACACATAAATATATGTCATTAGGATTTAAAACAGATGCCTTTGTAAAAATTATGGCCGACTGCCGTTGACGGATGAAGAATGCAATCCGTTCATTTGAAGCTATTATTTTATTAAAAATAATTAATTACAGTTTTTAAATACAGTAATAATTCAGACAAAATATATGTACGCCATTAATCGATAAGTATAATACAGTTATAATAATATTATAAACATTATAATATATATGTTCCAGTGATTACATGGTCGTCGTCGGCGGCGGCAGCAATGTTTAATTAAAAATGTGTTTTGCTATAAGAAAACTTGAAAAATCGTCATTATTATATATTGTCTACAAAAAAAATATTGATTTATTTTTTTAAGTTAGAAAAACATTTTCAAATCATTTGATTTTTATCTCATTTAGATTCAATAACTTCGATAAATATCAAGGATCCCATCACTCAAGTCTCCCCTTGTGAGAAGAAATTTCTTATTCATGTTAATATTATTTTACTACGTTTTTTTTGAGGCTTCAATTTATTTTGCCAACCCTCATTTGACCTACTTTTTCAACGATACGTCAAATGATTACAATTCGTATTTAGTTGAAAATATTACTCTTAAAATTTGAAAAAATATTCCTTATTCAAATAAAAAGTAGCCTAATCACCTTTATCCATATAAACAATTAAAATCATTCATTTATATATAACTCTATTTGTGTGTGCTACTACTAGTCTATAATATTCCAAATTTTTTTGTAACATATTGCTATATAAATCATAAATTAAAAAACAAAATGATTTTTAGTTTCACCTGAATTTAACAATTGATTTTTACAATTATAATGAAATTTTATAATACGCTCAATTGAGTAAATCTTTTAAACAACTTTTTTTTTATTGGTTTTTTTAGATATATAATCATTAAAATTAAATAAATTCTGAATATTTCCATTATAGCATCTTTTTAAACGCCAAAAATTTATTAGACATGATTACTATGATTTTTATTTAAGTGATCTATTACGATAAAAATGTAAAAAAAATCGAACTTTTCTGATAAATGTACTGTGAATAGTAATTATAAAATTTCCTGATTGCATATTAATCTTAACAATTTCATGTTTTTCTATTTAATATTGTCAATTTCAAACTTGCAAGTTGAGCTATAAGTTATGGCAATAAATTCATTTTTTTTTTTTATTAAAACTTTCACTTTAAAGGACAAAAAAAAGAAGGTTCAATATGTATTCTTTTAACATATTAATAATCAAAATCAATAATAATTTGAAAACAATTAATTTTAAAATTATATAATATATAATTAAATGAATTGCTAATCTGGGTATAATTAAGGAAATAGAAGTTGATGTTGCTTTTGTAATTATCCATCAATTTCTTAGAATTAAACACTATCTACAGATTTGCATCTAAGCGTTTCTTATGAAAGTGATTTTAATCACTGTCAGATTAAATCTATACTGGACCCAACTATGCAACGTCCATACTTTGCCGTGACCCCACTGTGCTGGTTTTTTTTCCTATAATAATTATAATTATTATTTATAATTCTATCCATACTCTTAAAATTTTGTTTAAGTACTACAAAAAAATTATTATTACCTTTAAAAAAATAAAATTATTTTATATTAAAGCTAACAACAAATTTATAATAAATTCATTCTAATGTAGTAACCCTATAGTCTTGGCCAATCATACAATATGGAGTATGAGATACTAAAAAGGATTAATATGGTCAACAAATGTAATTAAACTTTGGGAAACTTAAACAAATCAAGAACACATAAAGAAATTAATAGTCCAACTATTCATCACGCTAAAAAGTTCTATAGTACTGTATGGAATACAATGTTGGACTATAAGGAAAAGTGATGTGTCTAAACTGAGAGTTTTTGAAAGGTAAATATGAAGAATGATATATGGACCCTGTCTTGCTTCGCGATCATGGAAATGGCGTAAAATTTAATAAATTGATTATGTTTGTACGGAGCTATTTGGCAGAGTTATATCTTTGAGGCTGGAGGTTCATATATACTACTATAGGTCCATACCACTCTGGGTAGACACACGAGGTGACTCAAACCCACCTATCATCGATAAATTAATCACAATAAATCTCATATTGAAAATATGCTTTAAAAGCGTGTTTTCCAGTTTTTTTTAACTATATTTATTTTTCATTTTCTATTTTTTTATGACAAGCGGGATGGGGTGAATGCGACGACAGTCTAGTCTCAAGGCTATAGACGACGGCGATATACGCGAGAATAATAACACGTGTCGCGTGGAGACTTACAAACAACATACATGTAAAACTAATATAAGCGTGTTAATAAAGATCACTTTATTTTACTATTATCTTCTATTTTTCTTACAGACCCTCGTACTCATACCCTGAGTATTAATATTATTAATACAATAAAAGTAATTGCTCAACACCCACACAAAATCATATTTAATTATTTCATTCTTTCTTTTTAAATTACTACAAAATTTATTAAGTATTACGATGATGATGTAGTAGCCTAATGATAGTGTATAAATATTTTGTTTTTCTTTTTTTAATGATAATTTTAAAAAAATTTGCTAATACGGTTTGATTTTGCTGTAACTTTTTAAGAAATGTATCGCTTTATAAAAATTCATATTTGCCATATTTTAGGTAATTTGGTAATGCTTTGGATGATATTTTTATACAAATCAATGATAAAAATTCAAATACTTATTAGGAACATATGGTATTTTTATTTTTTTTATACATCCGAAATATATTTATATAATTGGTGATTATTCACTGGTTAAAGGATTTTAGCTAGTAACATTTATATAAATTGTTATGCGAGCCTGCTGTGGAAAGATGTCGTCAATAAAATAAATTAATGAATAATTTATGTGAATGATTTAATATTTATTATTATGTCAAATCATTTCACTTTATAAAGTATAATAATGTATAGTTATAAATAATATAAGAAGTAGTATACAAAAACATACAATGATGATTTAGAATTAAGATGTAGAATTGTACTTACAAGGTCATTATTTAATCACGACTGACTTATATGGGACCTAACAATGGAAGCATATGCGTTAGCGTTGGGCCATGTTAATGGTCAGCACAATCCAATCGGCCAGCTATAATTGGACAATCATCCATATGCTAAAGAATGACACTCAATATAACATTAGTCATATACAAAATAACATTATGAGATTCTTAGAAAGATCTATATTACTTTAAAAAGAGAATGTAAGTCGTAGAGTTGCAAAATTACGTGTTATCACGAAATATTTTTTTAATCTGACATTTCTTTACTATAGTAAAGAAACATAAAACTATAATTTTCCGTTCATTCGTCAAAAAAAATAAATATTTTTAATTTTAACCACATAAAATTATATTTTGTTTTTAATGTATTTTTTACATATTCGGTGTTAAATTCAAACACTAAATGATATCATTATGTAAGTAATTTAAAGTATGAGTCTGTGAATTATGACGTCTAACTATAATAAAATAAAATACATTATTATAGAATAAATAATTAATATTTGCATTATTTTAGTATAAATTACAAAACAACGTACCTAATATTATTAACTTAAAATTCAAACATTTAAATAATTTTTTTTTTAATTTTTGATTTCTTTTATATATAAATCATTACCATGCATTTAAAAACTATACTAATCTTTAGTTCAGTATGTTTTTTTGCCGGCATAATGGTAAGTATTTATTCGATGGTTTATTTATTTATTAATAAATATGATATATAAATATTTAAAGGGCCAGGGACTTAATGCAAAACAAATATGTTACTTTCAAACACTGGTATGGAATCATTTTGATATCAAAAGTATAAAACGTGGTTTCTCATGTATTGGTATCGAAGAGGATTACAATGATTGTAGTTTGGAAGAAAATATAAATAACACAATGTCTTACAGTAATTTTTAACTCTTATACAGGGTGATTTTTTTATCATAACCCACTCAATTACTTACAGAATAATAATAATTTATACGTTTTTTTTTATTATTATCTTTAGTTACACATTATTCTTGAATTATTAACTATGTAATACTTTTTAAGTTCATCCCTTATGTCTGGTAAGGGTGTCAACTTTGTTTTTTTAAATGGTAACACATATTTTTAATTTAATAAAATGTTTGAGTTTTTAATTCAATAATAAATGGCATTTGAATTTTTAATAAAACTTAATTTGTTTATTAGATATAAACATTTAAAGTTTCAAATTTTTGAGTTAATATATAGGTATAATACACAAGGGATTACAAATACAGGTAGCTAATTGATTTTTTATGACATCGATATTAACAGGTACACAGCATTGTTATTATCAATGATAGTAAGGTACATTGTTGTGAGTTTATAAATACACTAACTGACAATACAAAAAGTATATCTATTGATAGTCATAATTGATAATAAACAATCCGTGACTGTGATACGGATCACGAAGGTTTTTTTAAAATGGTAAATGTGAGTTTTTATCTTGTTATTTAACATGGCCGCTGGAAATTGACAGCCGGTCATCGTAAGTGTACCGGATATCATGTGAAAAAAAAGGCTCGGTACGGGAATAGAACCCGTGACCCAAGGCGTCGTATAGATAAACGTTACCACTAGGCCATCGCGCACTTATAATTTAGCTCCCGATACACTTTCATTTAGTTTGATAACGTGATGCGCGGCGGAGGGAAACACGGTACCGTGTCATAGTGTACATGTATAGCACAATAATGATGTTTCTTCGGTGTAGATGAGATAATAGTACTTCTCAGTTAGTGATAATAAACTATATAAAAAGATATAAACCTAAAAGTTTAGAGCAAATGTAAAATTGATTATTATACGATGATGATTACGATTATGTACCTAACGTGGAGGGATGTTATACTATTGAAATACATATTAACTAATGAAATATATATATAACTGTTGTTAAAGCTCGTCAGTAAATAAATATAGTTTAAAAGCGTGTTTTTTAGTTTTTTTAAACTATATTTATTTTTCACTTTTTAGTTACATGTTATGATAGTAGTTACTATCAATATGATGGTTGTAACGGGTAAAGGGGAATTAGGGTTCGATTCCGGAGAGGTAGCCTGAGAAACGGCTACCATATCCAAGGAAAGCAGCAGGCGCGCAACGTGGAAGTAGTAACGAAAAATGACAATACGGGAATCATCTGTTGTTACGTCGCTATTTAGGGGTTTAGCCTAAATGCCCGTCGACAGTATTCTAAGGGACCAACGGGGGATAGCTGGCTAGGCTATATCTACCTTAGGTACTGAAGTTTCCTATTTAATTTATATTCCCTTAGAGGAACTACCAAGGGTCGCACTACAATATATATATATAACACTTTAGGTTAACAACGATATAAATAAATATTTATTAAGCAATTGAAATATTAAATGGATAATACAACCTGCTGGACACCTAGAGATGGTATAATCCAACAGGGAGCTGACGGCGACACACACACACACTATAATATACGGGGTAGCGAAGTTAAGTTAATTATCAGGCAAAAGTAGTGATCGCGAAGATGGTAAAATGTCAACTGTCGATAGGGATATCTTAATATGGCACATTGGCCGTGAATTGCAAAAAGTGTTTATGTGTGCAGTCCGCACTCCTGTTAGTATTGCTGTATGTCACTGTGTTAATTATATATATATATATATATATATGTCTATTAAACGGTACAACGATGTTATGGGAGACAGAGATATGGGCACATGCAAATGTGATCGTATCAGTAGTTACTATCAATATGATGGTTGTAACGGGTAAAGGGGAATTAGGGTTCGATTCCGGAGAGGTAGCCTGAGAAACGGCTACCATATCCAAGGAAAGCAGCAGGCGCGCAACGTGGAAGTAGTAACGAAAAATGACAATACGGGAATCATCTTTTGTAAACGGAATAAATACCCTATATATCTCTTAATGAGAATAAAGCGTATTAATATATACGTTTTAATAGTAATTAGAATATAATATATTATATATATATATACATGTAAAGCGACTTAAGTACGTTAACGTATCATGCATGAGGATAGCCGTGTTTTGTAGGCGGGCGTGGCGGGGGAACATTATACACGAGGCATATACGGCGGCAGAGGCGTCGGCTGTAGGAATATATAAATGAATATTAACGTATACGTATATATAAATATTAATATATATATGTATATATATATATATATATTAATATTAGCGGCGATGGTAAGAATATATAATCTTCGCATAATATCGCGGCACTTTCGCTGGCATCGACGACGCCATGTCCGGCGTGATCCTCAGGCGTCAAAAGGTTAGCAGCGTTGATGGAGGCGGTGCGCGATTGCAGATCGGTTTGTTGACGTCACTTTGAAAACAGGAAGATGACCACGGTATCATTAGCGGCGGGACGTCGTAGGCTGTGAGGCACATGCTGGACTTAGCACCGCGGTGTTGGTCAGTCAAATACTCATAGTAGGGCGACGGCTGATAAAGATGGCACGAGTCGTGGGGCATCGTGTATAACGAAACGACGCTGGGCCGTGTCAATAACAATAAAAATTTGTTATATATATAATTGATGACACGCACGCGTATACGGGTAAAAAAACCAAAAATATAATTATACAGGAATTATGTGTTAGCGGTGAGTTGTGAGCGGGGTGCGGTGAATGCGTTACGACAGTCTAGTCTCAAGGTCATACACGACGGAATACGCGACATAATAACACGTGCCGCGTGTAGTTACAAACTTACAACAAACAACAAACAACATGCATATGAAACTAATATAAGCGTGTTAAAAATGTATACATTTCTTGTTTGTATTAACGTCAAGTCATAGTTTCAATTTTCTATAGACAACAAATGAAAAGTTTTGAATTGAGCCCTTCAATTTTTATACGCGTTTTCCAAAAAAGTAACTACTTAATACTTTTTTTTGCCACTCGCACTACCATCACCGGTTGTGCGAATGACTCATTACGTTGAATGGTTCCGTAAGTGATCGTTGCACGCCCCCAAATTGTTGTCGGTGCCTTTTGTAAATTTTGCGTTCTCGCCACCATAACAAGTACCTCCGTTTGTATGTGCGCCATATATTTTATTCTATTGTTTAGCACATTCTGTTGTGCTTTGGCTCTCTCGAGATTTCGTACCTTTACACGGTTTGAGTGTTCGGCCCTATCCAGATCTGAAGTGATTACTTTTTAAGCGATTAACTTTGTAGTCTTAGTCTGTTCACAAAGCGTTTCTTATGATAGGTATTTCAATCACTGTCAGATATCATCTATACTTGTCCTAACTATGCCACGTCCACACTGTGCTATTGTTTTTTTAAATTTTATTTCGTTTAAAATTTATACTGGAGCACAATAATAAGAAATAGTTAGGATCAATACGCTTATCCTTTTAACTACACCTTTAATCAACCTGTATTTAATGTATCAATATTTATAGGTGAAGTAGCCCAAGGACTCTTCAAGATTTTGAATTGTATGGTTAAAGTTAACAAGTGGGGCGATAACAAAAAAGTAAAATTACATATTAATTAGTTTATTATGATTTTTACTTAAATCATTAATAAATTATTTTGCATTCTATAGGTGGAAAAACTAGATATAAATAATGTTGAAAAAATTTCAACTAAATTCAGACATTTTGACAAAAACAATAATGGTTTTTTAGATGAAGAAGAATTCACAGAATTCATTTATGATTATGAGCTCCGTGATTTAATTGGAAACGTAATTATAATTTTATTTTAATATATTGATAATTATTTAAATACGTGATACATCGCCCAAGATTTTTTCTATCTACACAAATTTAATAGAACATCGAGTGATTTTGATAAAATAATTAATTTAATCATAGAAATATATTCACACGAATTATAACCAAAAAATATATAATATAATAATTTAATAATTTAATAATAATATAATAATTTTTTATTTATTTTATTTCTCGATATTTATGAACCCTAACCACCAGAAATTTCAAGTAACGTCAACTTTAGTAGTTTAGCTACTTAGTAAACTTTACTAAAATTATTACTAAAAACAAATTAGATCACCATAAAATTTATTTATACAGTGTGATTTATTAAGAAATTGAAATTATTATAATCTCAATTACTCGTTAAATAGTTATATTTTCATAAAAATGCAAAATTTAATTTATTTTTATAAACCATTATAAATATCAAGTTTATTATAAAGAAAAATTATTCTTAAGGGTAGAATTTAGGAGAAAATTTTATAAGTTAAAAAGTAACCTATTTTTTTTTACTTTTCATTGGAGAGTATTCTTAATAAAATTATAGACAGGTCGATAACTAATATTGTATTATTACTTTTTGAGTCGTTAAAATTTTTAGTTATAGCCAAGCGGGGTGCACACCGTAGATTTTTTTTTTTAACTAAAAGTATTTATCATAAGCTTCAATTTTACATATATTTAAAGCTCGGAATATTTCCGGAACATTTTCAAAAGTGAAGTTGAAAAACTACTACTTTTTACTCGTATTTTTAGAAATTTAAACCACGCCTGTATAAAGGAAAATTATCAGATTTTTAAAAAAAGTATGTCGGATGAAAGGTATATATTAGTGATGGGAAATATCGAATAGAAACTATCGAACTATTCGATAGTTGTCCACTATTCGAACTATTCGATAGTCATTCAAAAAATATTCGAATAGTAAATATATTCGATAGTTACACAATATATTAGAATAGTTTTAAAAACTATTCGATAGTCTATTCGATAGTTTATGCTAAAAATAAACTATTCGGTTGTATAAACACAATTTGAATAGTTATACGATAGTTTAAAATATTTGAAAATGCCCATCACTAATTTTTACTATTATTAATTGTATAATAATTTATTTATAAGTATTCGTTAATTATCTTCTTATTATAATTAAGTATACTTAATAAAAATTTTAGGTAGAACTAATCGAATATTTTTTAAAACCATTCGGTAGCCCATTCGAATAGTTTATGCTAAAAATAAACTTTCGGTTGTATAAAAACTATTCGAAAATGCCCATCACTAGTATATATATAATTTATTTAGAAACAAAAATTGTATAGATTCATACATTTATCAAATAGTTCTAATAATTTAAAGTTTAAAATATTAAAACGAAAATCTTAACATAAAATAGCATATTTTTGAAAACGGTAGCGATTTTCACCATGAAGACAATAGAAAGTTTAAAATTTTTATTATTCATATTAAAATATATTTCATAAGATTAAATTTAAATATTTAATTATATACTTGTGTCTTATAAGCTTAGGGTACAAGGTTCTAACGCGCGTGTGGCAATGAATTTTTTTCATTTTTGCTTAATTCTTTTTAAGTAAGAATAAATTTTCAACTGCTTTGATTTTTATCTTCTTTAGATTCAATAACTTCAATAAAGATCCAGGATCCCATCACTGTAGTCGCCACTCGCGAGATGATATTTTTTATTCATATTAAAATAATTTTACTTTATCTTAAGTTTTAGCTTCAATGCAAAGCTGAGAAGATATTTTTTTGTGACTATCATTTATTTTTTCTGCTCTAACTTGACCTACTTTTTTCAACAATACGTCAAATGACTACAATTCGTATCTATTTATTAGTTATTTTAGTTAAAGTAAATCATTAAAATTAATTCAGTTCATATTTCAATTGTAGTATCTTTTTAAACATCAAAAGTTACTATGAAATGATTACTATTATTTCTATTTAAGTTATCTATTACGATAAAAATGCAAAAAAATATTGAGCTACTCTGATAAATTTACTATAAATAGTCATTATAAAATTTCCTGACTGCATATTAATCTTAACAATACAATTTTTTTAATTCTCATAAAATTTATTATTTAATAATGTCAATTTGTAAATTTTGCAAGTTGAGCTAAAAGTTATGGTAATTAATTAATTTCTTTTTATTATAAATTTTTAAAAAAATAAAATTTAAGGGATTAACAAAAAAGGTTAAATATGTAATTTTCCTTATTTTTAATATAATAATAATCAAAATCAGAATTATTTAAAAACAATTTTTGTTTTTTCTTAATTTTTTTTTTTTATTTGTAAATACTCATTTTTTAATAATAAGTAATTATATTATAACTTAGAAGTGATAGAAAAAGTTTAATTGCATATTTGAAAACATCGAAAAAAGTTGATTTAGAAAAATACATTTTTGTTTCTGATTAAAGTTCCTTGTAGTCCAGTGTATAAAACTTATAACTTTATTATAAGTAACAAACATTTTTTATTAAAAATTATTGCATCAAGACTTTTAAATTTGTATACGCGTTAAAAGTAAAGAAATATACAACTACTTTAATATTTTTATAATATCTCCGTATAAATTATTAAATATAAAATATTATAATAAAATATTAAATTATTAAATATCAATTTCATACTAAATTTAATTACTGAAGTTATTATTTATTCATATATAATAATTATAAGTCAAATAACTAATCGGGATAAAATTAAGGAAATAAGAGTTATTGTGGTTTTTGAAATGATCTACCAATTTATTAAAATTAAACACTATCTACAGATTTGCATCGAAGCGTTTCTTATGATAGTGATTTTAATCACTGTCAATATCATTATACTTGTCCCATCTATGCCACGTCCATACTTTGCCGTGACTACACTGGGCATAGTTTTTTTTAATTATTCTATTTTTAAATATGAATTTTAATTTAAAACTTGCAATTGAACTTAAAGTTACGGCAACATATTTAATTTTTTTTTACGATAAACTTTCACAAAAACTTTTCATCAACTTAAAGGACCAAAAAATAGGTTAAAAATGAAAATTTTGACTGATTGTTTTTAACATATTAAAAATCAAAATCAGTAATAATTTGAAAACAAATTTTTTTTTTCTTTTAATTATTATTTTATATGTAATTAGTAATAATATAAAAAATTAAAAGTGATAGATAAAGTCTAATTGCAGATTTGAAAACAGCACGAAAGTTGATTTAGAGAAGTATATTTTTGCTTCTAATGAAAGTTCTTTGTAGTCCAGTGTATTTATTCATAAGTAACAAAAATTTTTTATTAAAAAGTATTGCATCAATCCCATTAAATTTTTATACACATTAAAAGTAAAGGAATATACAACTACTTTTTATTTTTATAATATCTCCGTAAAAATTACAATATTATTGAATATCAATTTCATATTAAATTTAATTACTATAATTATTATGTTTTCATATATTATAATTATAAATCGGGATAAAATTAAGGAAATAAGAGTTATGGTTGCTTTTGAAATAATCTACCAATCTCTTAAAATTAAACACTATCTACAGATTTGCATCGTAGCGTTTCTAATGATAGTAATTTTAATCACAGTCAGATATCATTATACTTGTCTCATCTAAGCGTCGTTCACACTGTGCCGCGACCCAACTGTGCTACCGTTTTTTTTATTTAAAACTGCCATAACTTTTTCAAAAATGAACAAATCAATATAATTTTTTTTTTTAGATGCATTATGTCTTTACCTATCATTTGGTATATTTTTTTTATAAAATTTAACCCTTTACCAGCCCATAGGGGGGGATTCAAAATGACAACTTTTTCAACTTAACTTTTGAAAGTGTTCCGGAAATACTGACACTTTCCTTACTTACTGAACACCCTATGTAAGTATATTTTATTTACTTCCAATATTTTAACTAGTATTTGACGCAGTGGTGTTAATTATAAATGTCTGTACTTTAATTAATAAGGATTATTCTTCTATCACATCATAAACTGCAGAATTTATTTTAATATCATTGCCTATACACTATTCTGGAACATCTAATAATTGTTAATATTTAGACCTATGTCTATTATAGTTAATCTGTCATTTAATTTTCCAGACATTTTAACTGAAAATTTTTTATTCCATTAATTGGACTATTGATTCAACATTTTGATCACTAAATTTTGTTTAACTTTATTGTTTAAAGTTGTACAATAAACCGTTCTAGAATTTCTAATAGCTTTTTTTTATTAATTACGAAATTTAATGGATCCAATAAAACGGCTTCCAAAAATATATTAATTAATAAACAAGAGCAACACTTTCACTTATACTAATACTGAAGTTTCGTCTTTTATAAAATAAGACTTCTAATTTACAAACTATCGATCCACTACTAATTATTTTACTAATTAGTTAAAAGTTACATGGAAATGACTAGTTATGAAACTAACAACAACCATGTTTCACTTCCAGCTATCACTGTTATAATATGTTAAATACTTACGAAAATAGATATACAAAGAGATCTATTTTTAGTATATTAGTATTTAGTATATAGAGATCAGCAGTCCAAACCTCGACTTTTATCGCACATACACACACACAATTATATCAGCACAGTGGATATAAAGTATTTACGCTCAAGTGCAGGTTTTTAAATAGTTATTTTATTTACGAAACGTAATTACACAAAGTTAAAATGTAATATAAAAATATACCACAAAATAAATAAAGCACAATGTACAAAGTTACTGGCACCAAACGTCCTGACCCATAACTCGACGTTTCTTCATCAAAACGTCAATCCTCATATATTTTTCATATTTCCCATTATCTCATCTTTTTCCCGTCATTATTAATTTGTTTACCCTGTACTTTCCCTTTATATGAACTTTATTATATTACTTAAGAATTTAAAAATTGCTTACTACACTAGTAAAACTTATATTATACTAATATTGACGTTATTTAATACATCCTCAGATATTTACTACAATACTAAACAAACTCACAAAATTGAATATTAGTTGTCAATATCATCTTTTGTTTTTTACATCACAAACTTTATTGATAAATTGTTCCTATTGGTGCTTTGATCAATTAGTTTAAAAAATATCTCGCACTTTTAGAAATCAAAAATTATTAATGACTTGATTTATAGAAGTCATTTATTCATTTATGCTATTGAATTTAGATATAAATAGCAAAAATCTAAGCACGTTATCGAATTAATTTATAAATTTAAATTTATGCGTCTTGTTGTTGAACTCATTATAAGAATGTAATGGTATTGGTTTTATTTCTTTTTTTAATTTAAATTATGATTTTATTAATTTTCTTAAAATAATAATATGGGAATCATTTATTTCATACATGTTTTTATTTAGTTGTTGTCATTAAATTATTTTTAAACTATGATCATAGAAATAAACAATTTTTTTTTTTATAATTTAATTATCTATTTAGCTATTGTCTTTCCAAATTTATCCTATATACAGTCCACTAGTAAATATACAAAATAATTTGGTCATTTAACCAATGCCAAGATCTAGATTTTACTTTGTAAAATTGTTCATAATTTTATAGTTATGGTTTGACTTCAATAAGAAATTAAAATTGTAGAAAATTCACATCAAATTTATAAGTGCATAATAGTTGTTTAGAATTTCATAAATATTGAATTAGAAACTCAGGTGGTCTATTGGTTTATGTAGTGCGCCTATACACATGAATACTCGTATTCATACCCCTAGAGATATCATTATTAAAAACAGATAAAAACTCTCTTATTCTCATTTTCTTTGTTTCTTATGAGTTGCTATATAAATGAGAAAAAAAAATTGATATTATGTCAAACTTTGATTATAAAGTATACAATTTTACAATTGAAAATATACTACCTGTACCCATTAAATTTAGAACTCCTATAATAAGTGTATTGTAATAATTATTTTGAATTTTGTAGGAAGTAACACTGAACGACTATGAGAATGTTATATATACTTTGACTAATTTTAGGAATGATATTTATCAAAAAAGTAATTACTAAATCAATTATTGTAAATAATCTATATTTTTTTTTTATATTGTTGTATTTTTTAGGCAGTTTAAATTACGACTTAAGTGATGTAATGTTAAAATTATTAGAGTACAAGGCAAAATTTAATCAAACAAAATTTGATATAATTGAAGATTTCGATTTCCTTCTTGATAGAGCAAACGAAATTTCACAAGGTCGTCAAGCAGAAGATTTTAAATCATTTCACGAAGAATAGATATGTTGTATAACGTAATATTTTGTTAAAGTTTTCAAAAATCCGTGTTTTTATTAAATATTATAAAATTATAAAAAGTTATAACACCTACAACCAATCATGTATTGTAGTTTTTTATTGCTCAAGGTTTATTTAAACAGTAATCGTCTTTTTAATTTAGATATCGTTTTGTTATTGACATTGCGTTAATATGTAACATACTGAACTATCCAAACGGATATTGTATGGCGATCTAATGTAGCATTAATTTAGTTTAAACGGTTTAAAATTAAAAATGATGTGTTTAAATTTTGAATAACGCTGTAATAAGTGCATAGCTGAAATAGTGTCTTTAATAGGCTTAGAACAAAAACATTGAATGTTCTAATTTTAAGATTAAAGCTATACGACGATGAATTATATTTGAGAGTAGTAATAATGCTTCGTTAAAATATCACTGAAAAATTATTCTATTAATGATGTAATTTTTCGGCGAATCATTGAAAGTGTTTATTATGAGAACAATAAGATAAAAATGAACAATATGTTATATTTATATGTTTGTGTTTTAAAAAGTTTTATATTTAAAATTTGTATAGAACTTTTACTTAAGTCATAAGCAATAGAAATGATGTATTAATGTTTAGTTTGTAAGGTTTCAGCCAAACCAGTGGCCCTACTATTTACGCACTATCCAGGGGAACACTAGACAGTGACCTAGTAGACGAGCCAAGCGAGAATAGTTTTCGTTGACGGATCTACTAAGGTTTGATTAAAAAAAAAAAAAAAAAAA